ATTGCTAGAGATCAAATAATCCTCAAATATGCATTCGAGGAAAGCGGGCGCTTATAAGAAGGCGAACCACAAACAGATCATACTGCACAATGACACAAAAACAAGCAAAAAAGTGATGAGTCCTAAACGTAGCTATTAAATGAGCAAGTAATTCAAGCAAGAAACTGTGACTTTCCGAACAAACCTGAATATGTTCGTGATAATCAACAAGACGATCAGCTCCGGATTTAGCATTGCTCATCAGATAAGGCTTCACATAATGCTCCGTAAACTTATTAAATGACTGACGCAGCTGAAACAAACTTCTATTCAGGCTAAAGCGATATGTTAGATTTCGCCAGTCAACAAACCGATCCCTTTACGACTTCCTGATCTGTTTCGACAGCAAAATTACATTGACACACGCCAAAAAGTTACGGTCTTCATTAGTCTGTTTTTTAGCATGTGCGACCAATAGGGCTATTTTCGACTGCCTCTCATTAAACTGAAGCATAAGTTCGTCTCGATTTTGGATTAGGTGCTGGACAGTATTAGTAAAAAGAGCAAATGCTCACCAATTTGGAAAAAGTTTAGTTTTTTTTTCTTTGGTCAAAATTCACTCTAGATGGTCATCTCAGGCACCCCTGACTCATGTATATTTTCACATAGATGATTTCCGTTCCTGTTCGTCCCTCTTCCAGCCCTTTTCTTCCTGCGCTTCCTGCGATTCCTTACCCTCATTATGTAAAAAAATTTGTTGTAAATGAAGTCGGAAAAATTTATTTTTTAACACTCTAAAAAAATTCACTAACCCAATACTGCCCACGATAACCCGCGATTCCTTCGACAGCTGCCATCATATTGTTAAACACCTGAACAACATTTTTACTGCATATAAATCCTAATGAACTTACTGATGAACAAAAATTTCCGTAATACACTGCCAAACTGACAACTTCCGCAACCTCTTTTTATGAGTTTTTGCACATTTATGCAAAAACGCATACTGGCAAGAGATTGTCGGTGCGTATGTGTGTTTATTTGCGTGCTTATGTATGTAGGTATATTCGCATTTTGCCATCTACTTTCAACTCGAAAATAAAAAGAAGTTTAGGAAACTTAAAGTTTAAGAAGTAGCAAGTGCCTACCTACGTGTTACTCTCCCGTTTTAATATTATCATTTACGCACGCTTAGTCTCATGTATGAACGTCGAAACAAAAACTCATTTTACGCTTGCTGGCTCGCACATGGACAGCAAACATCGAAAAACTGCTTTCTTCTCAGTCTGGTTACCCAAGTTTGCAAACGGTGTTCTGAATTATTCACTTGCACACACGCGAGACTCAGGCGTGCTTTAAAGCAAATTTCGAAATGCTCGAATCACACGTAGGCACAGAATACCCTTACAAAATTTTAGCTTCCTAGCTTAACTAGTTGGCGAAGTCGCTTTTTACAAATGTTTTTGACGTGCCTAAACACGTCACAGAGACGTGCGCGAAGGTTTATTTTAAGTTTATGCGCCCGCATACGACCAACAGACATTCCCATGAATGCACGGCACTCAACCCAGTCTAATTCTCTAGTTTCTGGATTTCAAATTCGGCGTATCCGTACCCCGATATAGGCGTGAGTGATAACTTCGCTCATACACTGATGAAGAATACCCACATAAAGTTTCAATTTCCTACGCTGCCCGGTTCCCGAAACCGTTCTCTGCCAAAAAATTTGAGTGTTTTTTCAGGTGTCCATATGTGAGACCCAGACGTATGTGAACATCAATTTTAAGTTGTTGGGATCGCACATGGGTTAGGAAGATACACGCATGCACATATACAAACCGATATCCTCTCGACAATATGCGTTTTTGCATTTACATAAAGATGCAAAAACACACGACTGACCTCTCTGCAGACTAGCGCGAAGATTACATGGACTACCAACATTTCGATTCTGCTGACGCAGAGCTAAACACTGAACGACGCCAGGCCTCCAACTCAAGCTGCCTAAGGGTTACCAAAGATTTCTTTATACTCAAAAGGGCTGAACTTACATTTTCGCCGACCATTTCAAAAACTGTCTTCTTATGCACTTCATTCTGTTTAACTTTTAAAAATCTGACCAGCTGTTTTATTGTACCGCCCTGCAAAATTCTGATTAAACGCGTCTTGCAAAGTTCGCCAAAATAAGTTAATATAAGAGAATAAGTAGAAGTGAAATAACGAAAGACGCCTGGGCACCAACACACCAAGATCGCCTGGACTGTCAATGCTTCGATGGAATGGAGAAGCATCTACGGTCAAAGCATACACTCAGTGCAGCCTTTTTCTTCTGATTGTTATGCTTACTTCTAGTTAGACACGTTCACTTAAGTACTAACAAGAGGCAAAATCGCTCTGGTAACCGGTAAGGAGATCTAACACTAGCGAGTTCCTAAACTCCGAGCGTCATCATCCCAGACCTCAATGTCCGGAGCTGTGAAACAACAAATTCTGAACAAAAAAGTGCTCCTTTTAGGGAAGAATGACTCTTTTCAAACAGCTTAAATTTTCGTACCTGTATAAAAACAGTGAACAATATAATAACAATAGTACAGGAAGCGAACATATTTTTAGCTTTTACTGCCTAAAACACACGCAGAATTACTCTGAAATTGTAGAAAATACAAACACAAATTAGAGGAACCGGCTGCAAAATAAGAAATTTTGGTATTACGTATTTCCAAATTCCACTGCCTAAAACTTAAAAATTGAAAAAAACCTAAACCCAGGCTGGAACGCACCAGGTTTGCCGGTGCAACCATGCGTTTTTGCGCTAAACTCACAGGTCGCTAATAGCAGGAATGATCCCTGCACTGCAACCTAACACTTGGGCTCATATTGGCCGAGTTTTGGCTCCTTTTAGCATGCAGGAAAAAGGGCGTCGATTGGAATGAAGCTGGTGCATTACAGAGCCGCATGGACCTCCAGACACATAATTGCCAGTTTTTTGCATGAAGTCCAGTTGTTTCGGTAAATGCTCGCCTTTGAAAAAATGAAAAATGCAAATTTCCAGTTCACTAAAAAGTAAAAATGTTGTTCGAGCGGTCGTTTTTCAAAAAATCCAAGTATGCAAATGAGCTGAATATTCATTTACATATTTGGATGAGGGCGGTCGTTGACAGCAAAACGCGCTCGTTTCTGATTTTTTGGTAAAGCCGGGTATTTCTCACGCTCACCTGCAAGGAAGACCTTCAAGCAGAATTAAGACAGCACTTGAAAGTAAAGTGTTCCAGCGAAGTTTCAGCCTTGCACCTTATTCGGTAAGCGGAATGCCCACTTCGCTATAAATATCTTTGAAGTGCCCTAAATCGTGGCGTAAGTGGAAATCGGTACTCATTTTAGGTATACGGTTTCCTATGTGGGTGAAAACATGCTGACAAAATTTCAGCCACTGTTTTCCGGCATGTTTTCGAGTTAGCATAGTACAAAGTTGAAAACTCTGACGAGATCGTACGCGCTTCACAAGCGTGCGCGACAACTGAATTCGAAATCTTTAGTTCGCACATGCAGAAAGAATATTTCTGCAAAGTTTCAGCTCTGTACCTTGCATGGTTCGCGAAATCGTTTCCCGCCAAAGAAATCTGCATATTTCTTTGGAGGGTCCGTACGCGGAGTCTAGGTGTGTGTGGAGGAAGATCTTAAAACGGGAGGGTGACATACGGGGTAGGAACATATATCCGAAGTTTCAGCCCCCCAGCTCTCCTGGTTGCTGAGATAAAAGTGAATGACAAAATGCACTCGCTTCCGAACAAACACAGACGACCTTTCAACAATATGCGTTTTTGTTGGCTGTAGCAGCGCTACAGCATTGCATTAGTAAACACGAATAAAAACTGGGAAAAATTACAGTGAAGTTTTGCTCTTTCGTATGCATCTTGGTTTTTTGCTCCGTAACGCGCAATTTTATCACATGTCCCGTTCCAGCCACCTTCGGCACTCCTTTTTTCCTTTGTCCTCATCGTTATGGCTAATTTAAGCAAAAAACAAGTCATCTTTTGAAATTTTTCATAGCGCTGTATTCGGCCTAGCGCATGCACTCCAACTACTGCAGCTACATGATCAAAGACAACCGGCAAATTATACCACAACTAGAAGTCAACTAAGAATTAGAAAAACCAGAAAATGGAAGGCCGACCGCACATCTTTTGACTTATAACCTGAATCAATAGCATTGAAAGTTGTAGTTCACAGTTTTCTCTTTTAACTACTTCTAGCGTTGAGTATAGTTTTGATTCACGTCACAGAACGAAACTGCTGCGGTAGTTGAAAGTAAGTCTCAGGTACTGTGGATTGTACTATGTGATACGGTAAAGCTCGGAAGTATCGGATTCGTAGTTTGCACTGTTTTTGAGCCTTAATACAAACTAAAGTCTGATCACAGGTACGCATGTAGAAGGAAGAGTTTGAACTCTGATTCTAGCACATGAGGTTATGTACAGTAGCGCTTAAATTTCACCACAGTTTCGACTCCCCGACTTTTCTAACTTGAAACAGATGGACACTGCGCAAAA